TAATGCACGTATGTATATTCTTAGTATCAATTCATACTACAGAAGCAGATGAGCACTGAAAACTGAGAAAACATTCACAGATCTCAAACTTTTTCTTCATATCAAAACAAATCAATGCATGTACCAAATACATGACTTACACACTCTTTCCTAATAACAAGGGTGGATTACTGAATGGGCCAACCAAGCACACACCCAGAGCCCCAAATTGTCAGGGGCCCCACTGACCTCTTGCAATATGTCACACAACATTTACGACTTAACCTACCAGTTAGAGACCCTGAGTGACTACAAAGAGACACAAAAGACAACAAAAGATAGTAAGGAACTGCAAGAGGCATGACTACAAAGAGGCACAAAACAACAACAACGACAATAACAAAAAAAAGGCAAAACCACCACAAAGTCTGTGTGTCTCACTCCTATGTAACAGAGGTGGTGGGGCCTCTTGCATAGCCATGCCCAGGGGCCCACTGTCTCTTAATCCGCCCATAATGGTAAACAGAGTAGAGCCTAAAAGACCCTCTGCAGCAGCAAATAAACCAGCGAGCAAAGAGACAAACAGCTTATCTATTTGTCTCTTTGACAGACAAAACAGATAGACAGAGAATATGTCTGACTCACGTTTCATTGAAGTCAGTTGGAGATGTCCACTGATGTCTAACTGCACTTGCTGCTTTGACAGTCATTTTGTTTGTTGACAAAGTCCTCCTCCTCTCCGTTGACAGCAATTCTGTTCGGTTTTTTTTTTTTTTGGTTGTCTGTTGACAGTCGTCTTCCACAAGTCTTCTTCCTCTTTGACAGTCATTATTTGTTTGTTGACAGTCTTCGTTTCCTCTCTCTTTTGCTGCTAGCTTAGCATGCTAGCCGCGGTTAGCCGATATCATTAGCAACACTGGAAAACTAGCTAGCTAACGGGTAACTGCCACTGGAAAGGTAACGGTTATTTCATTACAATTAATTTTTTAACCTTATCTTATTTGTACTGCGACAGGCTTCATATCTCACCACAGAGTTTATTTACCAGCAACGTGTCCGTTTATAGTTTCGCGGTGTCTTTACAGAGGCCGCTTTGAATTGTTTGATACTTCACTATTTTTTAATCAACGGATGACGAATTTCACCTGGCAGCAACCTCAGGTAGACCTTATTAAGCTGCAATACTCTTCCTGACCACATGGACTTAATATAAGCCAAGGGGGACGCTGTTTCACCCTTTTTTTTAAGAAACTTTAAAAAAAATTAAAACTTAAAAATAACTTCAGAAGAAAAATGATAGAAGTGTCTGTTACGTCAAAATTAAAATCATTAATTATCTTTTTTGTAAAGTTAAAGCGATACTGAATCGTGAGGGAGAGAAAACCCCCAGCTGCCGCTAATGTCCTATTTAAACATACTGTACGAACAGCAAGAAACAACGCAACAGTAAAACCACACCGAACAGTTTCTTCCCATTAAAAAATGAACAGTGCTGGAAACTGAATGGTAAATCATATCATTGATAATAAAGACCGACAGTTTTTAAATATGTGTATACAAAGGCATAGGTGTCATTTCAACATTGACAGGGAAACATTTCAGGGGTCAGGGGGTCTTCTTGAAGGAATTTTTGAGCACCACTTCATTTCTTGTATTCTGGTTTCATTTTAAGCACCAATTTGAGCTTTTTCATAATCAATTTCTGATTCTTTTTAATCAAAATTATCACTAGGGACAATTCTGAAGTCACAGGATATTGTCATGTCCCCAGTATGTCTTAATTTTATGCACATTTTCTGTATATTTTTACATGTATTTGTGTAACATTATATAGTAAACAACAGGAAACAGAAAAAAAAAACATTTTAGATTCTAATTGAATGCGAGTAATCTGTGTTGTGACCATCCAGCCTGCAGTGTTACTTTAAACTCGAGGATGTAAACTCCAGTATTAACTGCCTATTTCTTAAAATGTGTAGCCTAGAAATCATTTGCGGCCCCCACCTGAAATGGAGAATTCAGCTGTGGCCTTGAGTGAAGAGAGAAAACTATATGCACACAGTATAATGTTCCTGTGTGCTCCAGATGACGCCTACAGCCCCTAAAGCTTTCAGCTAACTACAAGTCTTTTAGGCTTAGATTGTCTTGTATTGTGTTTTATTTGTTTCTATTGTGTGTCAAGACATTGATGTGAGTGACAAAGAAGTGACAAGACTGGAGAACAGATGGAATAAAGTTTCTGCACAATTTCCCTCATTTGGAGAAGATGTAGACTGGAGGTGAAGAGGCAGAGATGCGAGGAGCTATGACAACAGAAAATATATTTAAAACGTGAGATCTTCCTTAAAATTTCATGTTTGTGTTAATGCTTACTAAACACTATCAAATTAATTCATAAGCCTCCCTCTTGGTGAGTGTGTGTGCATCCATCCTCAAAGCATCTCCCTTTAAAAGCCAGGCCATATTAATGAGACAGCCCTTTGTACGGACAAAAGAGGAGCCCCCGCCCCTCTCCCAAAAAACAATGTGTACTGAGTCATAAACAATTGGTGGCAAATAACAGCAATTTCACAGCTAATTCGTAGATTTCACGTGTGGATGCCTCCATCACCTCCCTCCATTTAATGTTGTGAATAGAGACACACGCTGACATTACAACACAAGGCGAGCTACAGTGCGTGTGTGTTTGTGTGGTGAGTGGAGGTCTTAGGTCTAATTATTTAAGTCTAGTTTGAGTGTCAGAGCTGCTGCTGGGCTCAGACATGTGCAGGAACACACACACTTTGTTGTTACAACAGGTGTAAAAATGACTAGTGGAGAGGAGACTGTTAAATGGTAATCAAATAAAACCCACACATATCAATCCCCTTTGATTCTTTAGATTATTAGCTTATCCTGAGTGCATAATCATAATATAATACACAGCTCATATGAAATCATGAAAACCTTGATATTTGCAGCTTTATATTTCACCCCAGACATAAAGAAGGGTCATAAATCTAAATGTTCAAAACAGTTTTTCCTTTAATTCTCCGTAAAGAGATACTTAAACTCTTCCCTTTATTCATGATAATTAAAAATATATTTCAGTCCTACCCAGAACACTTTGAGTACAGGTGGAGTGCTTGAGGATCTATTGAAAAAGTTTTGACTTCAGTACAACCTGAAAGTTGCTGCAGAAGATAAAAGAAGAGAATGAGTGATTCCAAAACGAGGTGAGTGGCTACATTACATGACATAAAGTAACAGAAAGTTTTGAACTGGATGAGAGAAGCAAAGAAGAGCCACTGAAATGAAGCATTCTGGACTATCTACAGAGTAGAGTAAGAAAAGGAGGGAGCCTAGGTTGGAGCCCTGTGCAGCCCCTTTTTGCATGCAGCATGGTTCAGACAGACCTTTTTCATGTCACGTGGTAGGACAAGTGTGTAGAGGGTCTAACCCTTAATATTGGTTTGTTGAGTGTGAAGCAACAGCAACGGTTAGCTTAGCTTTGTATAAAGATTGGAAAAAGGGGGAAACAGCTGGCAACAAGTCCAGAATTTTTTCACCAGGACTAGTAAAACCCTCCTTGGAATCTTTGCAGGTTGCCTGCCAGAAGAAATCTTTGGGCAGAGCCAGGCTAGCCATTTCAGCATGTGCAGTCTTTGTGCAAAGCTAAGTTAGCCTTCTGCCAGCTGTAGCTTCCTACTATAGAATATGGACATATAAATGGTCCATCTAAGACTTCACAAGAGCAAATAAGCTTCTCAAAATGTCGAACTTTTCCCTTAACCCCCACCTCTCAACAGAAGAGGATTTTGTGCATGGCACTTTACAGGATTACTATTGAACTCTCTATTTTTAACAGTCACCTGTTTGTTACTTATTGCAGCTTCAGACAGATAAGTCTGACTCTTAACATGATGGAAAATGAACCGATATCTACTTGCCTTTGATTTCTCTGCCAGTCCCATTTCTGTCTCCACCGTTTCATCATGTCTTCTCGATATGTTGACTATTTTCATATGATTGGGGGTGTAAATGCATCTTAATCTAACATACTTTAGTACATCCTCACAAACACCTACCTTAAAAAGTGTTATCATGTCTTACTATTGGGCCTCAAGCAATCTAACCTCAAGCAGTTTAAGATGCCTAAATTGGTAGGGAAGAGGTTGTAAAGGACTTGGTTACACCTTGAATTACACCTCCCACCTCTCTATATATTTTAGAATCTATACTAAGTAATACACCATAAACATGAAATTACAGGTAAACACGTTGCATATTTATAGTTTAAGTTTTTAGCAGTGTTTGATGAAACAGGTGGTAAAACATTAAGACTTTGGTCGTTCTGCTTTCAGTTTTAAAATGATTGAATGAGTCATTGCAATTTATCTACCTGGAAAAAAAAAACAAAGCCATCTTGGGGAAAAAGAGGTCTGTGCAACCACAATGAAAACACACAGCCACTTTTCACCATCTACTTTTCATATTTCTCCCTCTTCACCAGATTTCACCTCTGACAGTCTTGCCCTAGATATTTCTCCATCCTTGTCAGACACACTAGCAGGTCTCATCGGCTGCCAGCTGTGGAGGAGAGGACGTGGAGATCAGCGCAGATGAGAAGTGAAAAGGATGAAGAGAATCCAATCGATCCAAAACCTCCATCCTAATCTTGTTGACGTCTTCAGATGGTGCAGACAGCAGCCCTGGAGCAACTTTGGGGAACACATTAAATCTAAAAATTGTCTCCCTTTCTTTCTTTTTTTTTTTTTACATTTCCTGTCATTTTCAACACAACTGGTAGTTTAAATTGAGCAGCATATAAAGGAAAAGGTTGGTTAGATGCTCTGAACTTGTATCATGAAATATCCTTTTGGTTGTATCTTATCAGCTTCAGATATTTAGAAACTCCCCAGGTGCGGTCAATTTTGTCAACTTACATCTTTAAAAGGCCTCAAAAGGGTCTGACACTTCAGAAATACTCTACTGCAGCCCTGTGGCTGATGCATGAAGTGCAGCTGCAAATAACCACATTATTTCAGGTTGTCATATTTCCACTTCTGGCTTTTATTTTCAAGCAAATGTACAGTTTGTTTGCCATTGATAGCTACAGAAAGGTTGGCAAAAATCCACAAGTAAATCTTGATATGACTCTGTTAAAAACTGTATATAAAAAGACCCCAAAACTGTACATCAATTAACATAACTACATTTATATACTGTATGTACTGTATCTGAGTATACAGTCATTTATAGATACTGTTGGTTATGAGAACACTATACAACAATACATCGTAAAAGAGAAAGATAACATTCTGTTCGAAGGCTGTCAGTTTAGGTGGTCTTGAAAGATCAGGACAGTTAGGACAGGAGCGATTGGTACAGTAAGACCTTAAATCCACCATTAATGGCTTTGAAAGTTTCTACAGCAAAGTGTCAATCATCAGACAAGACGGTTCAGTGCAGGGCTGTATCTGAGCTAACACCACAGAAATCTTTTTTGAAGCATTAAAGCTATGCATACATACATGTCCAGTGTTGTTTTGTCACACAACTCAGTTTGGTTGTTCCAGTACTCTTCTACATAAATAAGACACACATCAAATACTGTCTCCAGAACGTAAAAAAAGGTAGCATGATCTCTGACGTACAAAAACGCACTACAGTAACAGTGGGTATTCCTTGTGATTCATTCATTCATTCAGTAATTTATGTTCACGGTCCAATAATTAGAACTGATCCTATTGTATCTCACGATAAAGGATTTAGTGGATTTGTTTGTGAATAGAGAGGTAGAAACTTTAATGTCCAATAAGAGATTCCCGATTGTGACGGAGGGATCATACATGACTTCTGAATGCAAGACCAAGACAATTGTAATACATATCCACTGGAGTGTGGATGCCTGACCCGAGCTTGATGGGACCTGATGGGCCAAGCCTGGTTTGGACAAATATTCACAAATAATGTTCGGTTCGGCCTACTTGACTTGGTCCTTCATATTTTGTCTCAAGCAATATCGGAGGACAGTGCTTGCCTTAACTGTGTAGGACTAGGGTTGGACATTAAAAAACAGAATGTCTGATGGGTCTGGGTCCAACTCGGTTACTACTCTCGGGCTGAGGTCGGGTTTGGACGTTAACAAACAGAATGCCTGTTGGGTTTGAATCAGGCTGGGTTACTACTCTCTAATGCTCGGGTCAGGCTAGGTTCCAACTCTTTTGGACTTGGGTCAGCACTCCATCATCCACTACCACATGGCTAGTGCTCTGAGGTCAGGTTGGTTGCAATGGGTCATTTACATCCAAGGCAATATTTCAACTTGAGCTGTCTATCCATGCAGATACTTTTGTTTTAGTTTTGTTTTTCTTGCTGTGCGCTATCACTCTGGGATTTCTGTCTCCACCTGAAAACAGCATCCATGCTACTCTGGATAATCCACAGACTTTTACTGTGGAAAGTTTTCATAGGGACCACTTCTTTAGTAGAAACAATTTCCAATCTGCAAGGCCAGATACCACGACAGGTGAGAAAATGTGCTTTTTTTCTTCTGTAATTTGGGTGAAATGACCCTTTAATATTCAAATTGGAGGATGAAATTCTGTGCATTTTACCACAACAGTATAAGAACCCCTTTGCTTTACCATTATTTTTACATAAACATTGAAATAGAAAACCAGAATTCTGAGAAGTCAGAGATGTTAAATTAAAAGGAAAAATACACTGAATAATTAGTAAAAAAAAAATCCCAGTTTGTAACACTGATAGATCAGAGGTCTTATTAAAGTAAAGATTAACATCACATCAGACTGAGATATTTCCAGTGTGCTCTGACCGCTCAGTGAGACCTTCACTCAGTAATGTGGTAAAGGGGAATTTTACACATTGCACGCAATAGAAAACAATAAAAATAACATGTTGAGACAGATGCCCTCTTGGACATATATAAAACATTTGGATTATAAACAATAAAAAACAGATATTAAACATAACTTGAATGTTTTGGTGCAACAAGTAATTATTTGTTCACTGATTGTGCATCATTTGTAATATTTTAGTGCTGTGTTTGTTCCTTGGACAGGATAACCTGTGTAAAACTGATTTTTTACATTCACCTTTTCACGCACATATCCATTCTCTCAGTCACAAATCCGTTCATACATCATCTGCGGTGCTTTCACACGATCCAAAAGTCTAATATTAGGTGTAAAGTTACCATAAAGCGAGCAAAGACAGTTCAGCAGAGACAAATAAACTACAACAAGGCACCTAATATTAAAGCAGCTAAAAGTATCTCTAGCAGCAACAAGGCTTTGGTTCATAGAAGTACTAAAAGTAGAGTAAAAAACATTATTTCTACTCTGTCTCACAATGATGGATGGATGAATGAAGAAGATGCAGAAGGGGAGACATGTTAGGATGATGATGATCACACGGGTGGCTCTCACAGAGGTAGGAAAACTTCCACTTCACCAGAGAAAGAATAAAAGAAAGAGAGAAAGAGAGAGACGGCTAAAAAGAAAGAGAGAGGATAAAAGATGAAGCAGACAGAATTCAATGCACTGCAAAGGCTCTTTTCAAGGTAGAGAATCACATTAGACTAAAATACTAAAATACTAAAATAAATGAATGGGTATCATCTAGCTTATCAATGCATACCTCTGGAAATAGTTTGACATTTGGGAAATTACCAGCTATAGAGGTGCTGCTAAGTGGACCTGCTTCCAGTCTTTATGATAAGCTAAGCTAAGCTAAGCTAAGCTAAGCTAAGCTAAGCTAAGAGGCTGAGATCTCCAACTTCACACTGTGTTCTCATCAACAAATGGCTGCATGTCAAATTGATCGAATCTCCCAGTAACTGCATATCGATTTAAGGCGACAAGTAGTTTGGGGCACTTGATAGAATCCTTCTGTTGTGTTGTGATTATCTCAGTAAGGACGTGCTATCTTTTAAGGAAAGTAAACATAAGTAATGTAAAACAGTATGCAATTTAGCCCCCAAAGCTCGACAGCTGACATGCACCCCACATTTCAAACATCAGATTTAGACTGTAGTTTTCTATCACCATATTAAAAACCATTTCATGCATTAATTATACTTACTTGATTGAATAATTCATGCGTGAAAGGGTTAATGGCTTTTACTAAATGTAATATTCTTTGTGGTGGCCACTCTCATTTAAAGTGTTTTACAGAACCATGAGTGTGTACATTGACGTACAGGTCACACACTTTCCCCAACACGACACTATATCCATCAGTTGTCACATTGTCTTTCTGTTTCTTTGGTAAAAGGTCTCTGTGGAGGACAATGTGGTATTTACAAGGTAATTTAAGGCATTGAGAAACAGCTGGGAAGCCATCATGTAGCCATTTGTTCTATTTCTGTCATTTCAAAGCCATAAAAACTTAGATTAGTCTCTGTATATAGCGTTACAGACACATATAAGAAGAAGGTTGAGAGTTAAAGTGCTTTAAAGACAATAAGAAAGACAGGGATCCTGCCGAGATAAATGCGACATACACAGTGACATGACTGCTAGCTATCAGCACATATACACACACACACACATCTGTTTCAATTACTCCAGACTACCTACAGGTGAAAGCTTAAGTGTTGGATGTGCAGCTAAAGTCGGTCTTTCTTTCGTTAGGACATAACATACACTGACTTATGAATCAGGAAAAAGGCCGACTCAGATCCACCTCTCCAACACTTAGGCTTTACTGCTCTACTACACCCCTCCTTACAATGTTGTAGAGTCCTAGGGAGTATTTCGGGATAATATGTTTGCACACAGGCAACACCAGTTACACCTGAAAAGAGGCAGGACAGACAGACAGAGAGAGAGATAAAGAGAGATGGTAGGAATGAAGAAAAGAAAATGTTTGGTCAGAGAAAGCTGGAGCTGGCTTAAGCACTGTTACTGTCCTCATCATCATCATCATCATCAGCAGCAGCACAATCACAACACATCATAACCGTTTTTTAAAAAGTACACTCGTCAAGTACACTTCAGCTGCCAGCTGTCGAAGGCGGGCAGCCTTAAAGGGCCAGTGCACACATTTTCAGTGATTTAAGAAATCAAAGCTCTTGATTCTTGTTTGTTTGTTTGTTTGTTGTGACATCGATACGCTGAGCCCTTTGCACATTGTGGCGGCGAGCGAGGCCCTTTGGATGGAGTCCTTTCCAGAGCCGTCCCATAGTGCTTTGTGCCGTACTTGGCTGCTGACTTGGGAGCAGTTGTAAAGGTCACTTTCATTGTAATCCCTTACAGCTGGATTACCTGCTATTAGCAACATAGTCAGTTATTTGACTCCAGTAACGTAACTACACCAGTTACTTTTGGGCAACTTTACTTTCCAGTGACCTGATCAGCTTCTGGACCAGTTTATTGATGCTGTTCTATCTGATATCAGAATTATAAGACTAGAAAAACACCCAACAGAAATAAATTAAACTGAGGTCTCAGGCCCCGCCCCGCTGTAGGCATGTCCCCGCTTTGTGTGACGGGAGCCATCGGCGAATCGGAGGAGAGGGGTGAAGGTGCTGTAGTCTGGCGTTTTTTGCCAGCGCGTGAACATGATTTTCTTGGTAAAGGGTGCAGACCTTCGTGGGTTCAGGGCTTTCCTTTGGTTGCCCGAGCCTCGCCGGTGGCTGCCAGCCTTGGATGGGGCGTGGAGAGACGCCAGGGGGGTGAACTCGGACAGCTGGCCCTTGTAGAGTTTATCAGCATTCTGTGAGGGTGTAAAGAGGGAGGAAGAGGAGGCAGAGGGGGAGAGAGGAGATATAAAGCGACAGAGAAGATGGTTACTGTACTGTAGAGGGCTCTCAGAGAGAAGGTGGAGGAGACATTTCTATCCCAGCTGGCCAAAAATCAAACTGTGGATATATTTGTGTACTTTTAGTCTTCTAGTTTCTATGGTTTGGGTTAAGCCTTAGTTCCAGTGAATGGAAATCTTAGTCCCACAATACAGAATGAGACTTTATACTCTATGACATCATAAGTTTGACACTTACTTCTCTGGTTTCTGGCTTTGACAGAGTAGCTCATATTCATGAATATTAATTAAACTTTCCTAGACCATGAAAACAACATGCTGGATGTCTTAATTTAGGCGGTTTTCCCCTTTAATGCATGAGCATCAGGAGGTTACAGCTGCAGGGACAAAGGCCAAATGATCTACTGCAACAAACAAGACACTTTCCTCTGCCAGTAACCTGAGCCTAAACACAAATCTGCCTCAGCAGACAATTCAATTATTTATATGATTTAATTAATAAAGTATTGCATTGCCTTTAATCTAATTGGCCAGCTGTGATGAAAGCATCCTGTGCATCCTGTGGAGACACAGGCGATACAACTCGAGCAAATGAAGTACATATACAAGAAATAAATACTGCAGCACCATACAACACCATAACAGAATGAAACCAAAACATGCAAATGGAAACATAACTTAAAAACATGCATGAATGTTCAGCCCCAGTGTGTGTAAAGTCTTCCAACTCTGCAGCGAGGCTGAAATGCGTCACTAGAGAGCGCCAGAGCTCCATGTACAGAATCACCCAACAGGATACAAGTGTTTTATATATACATACCTGGAGGATTTTGGGGTCATCGGACTTTTATGACTTTTACAAACACTCACACTATACCCATGTGTTAGTGAGATACAACTCTCAAACCTGTGTAGCCACACCACAGCAGGATGTTAACACCACCCACCAATACCATTAAACACACACAGAGAGTGGCGGGGTGTGTGTTTTACCGTGCTGAAGCCCTCTAGGCTTCTGTGACAGCTAATCCATCTAGTAAGGAGTCAGAACTGTGGTAGGTCAGGGTCCTCTCAGACCCTCTATTACCCCGCACACGCTGTGGACACACGCAAACACACACACACACACACATATAGACAAACACATTAAGGGTCTACCACATACATGAAAACATACACAGCCTAACCTAAGTGTTGCAAAAGAAAATAGATGACTTAAACAAGGAGTCATAAAGGACACACATCACATGCCACATTTACAGTATACTACAGGGTAAATCCAGATGTTGACACACTGGCATGCAAGAAGAGCCCATTCATGCAAAATACTGGCAGGAAGAAGCAACAGGACGCAAAAAAGGAAAACAGAGAGAGAGAGAGAGGAATTCTGCACAAAACAGAAACAGGAGGAAAGGCAGAGGGTCACCTCTAGGAGGGCAGGGTTAGAAACTGATTCTGCTGGAAGTCTGAGACAGCATAAAGATGGTGGAGGGCTCGGAGGCAAGGCACCGACGCTTAGTCTGCCGCGGAGGAGGAAGAAGAGCCAGGAGTTCAGAGGGAGGAGTGAATAAGGAGAGGGAAGAGTTAAAGCTCTGGAAATCAGTGAGACCTTTCCAAATGCCACATGATTAATTTATGCAAAAGTTCATATTTACAGAGATAAGAACATAAAGTCTGTCTTCCAGGATCAGAAATATCTCGACAGGTTCCAGGAGGTCGGTTATTAGCTCTCCACAACCACAGTTATTAGGAAGGTTAAAGGAAAGGAGCAGTTTAAGGCATGTAGGAAGGAATTAAGAAAGTTCAAACCTCACTGCAAACAAACACATGTAACAGGCTACACATCTACAACACTCTAAAAAGGTTGATGTCACTTCAACAGCTGATCCAACCATCAAAACTCAATATAATCATAGCGCAGCATGGTGGCAACTGTCCTGCACCTGCACCTAAAATAACATTAGTGCTGTGCTTTTCAGTAGTTCCCCTGTGCCTAGACTCCAGAGCCAGGGACGGCAGCCACTCCCAGCCTCTGCAGACAAGTGAATAACAGCTATGATGGCTGCATCTCTGATTTAGAAATAAAGAAGCACTGCACACAGACAGAGAGGCTTACTGACTTACATCCAACAGAGTCGGGACGTAGCCAAAGCCAGCGTACATCTGCTGACCCACAGCCATCAGTTAGATATTTCACACACTGCATCATCACAGTTCATAAGCAGTATTATATGTTAGTCTAGAAAGCTTTAAACAGATGATTTACAGCAAATATTACTCAAAAATATCTTGTTCTTTACAAGGTAAAAGTCATAAGCAGGTAAATCTCCTAAACTGGTTATATGAAACACAACAAGCAGAGGGTGCTGTTCTCCCTGTGTGACCTAGAATATCTTCCAAAACAATGAAATTATTTTGGCAAATATGTTATTTGGTTTTAAAAGTCAAGAGTGCAATTCATTGTCAGTTATCTGGTGGTAAATACCTGCTAATCAGAACATATGTGTATGGACCCACCTGTATGCGTTCGGTTGTGGTGGGCCACAGCGCCCTCCAGATGACCTTCTTTAACACATCTGGCAGCAGACTGGCTGTTATCAGAAGGATTATACTGAGCCAAGCTGGACCACTGGACAACATCTGCATGAACACATAGTACATCCTCTGGTAGTTGAGAAAGGGCCTGGAAGAGAGAAGAGGAGAGGATACAGCAAAATCACAAAATATTTCTCTCATTCGCTCTCTAGGTTTCAGGCTTTGACATAAAACTGAAATTTAAAGATATATATTTCTCCAAAGCTTACCAGATGATTCCTCCCCACAGCAGAGAGAAGACCACGAAGAAGATCAGCGAGCCCCAGATGACAAAATGGTTGATCCAGGTCCAGTAATGAGTATCTAGAGCCAGCTACAAGAAAAGGGAGAGAGAGGAGAGGGGAAACCTTCGACCTGTCAAATGTCATAGCTCACTTTAATGATACAGCTGAGGTTTAATCCGACCTCGCTCCGGTGCTCCTGTGAGTGCAGATACTCTGCAGACCATGTGTCTGTATGTGTGGTTACCTTGAATGTAACAGTGAAGACGAGCACGGTGAAGACCAGCGTGCCAAATGTCCAGTTTCCAAACATCTGCGGAGGCAATGTGACAACAGATGCCGTCAGTGAGATTTTTGGTTTTGTTTAATAAAATCCAATTTGAAAGCTGTTAATTTCTCAATTAAATGCACTCAATTGGTTTGAGAGCAGCCTACAGGTCTGGTGTTGATATGGTACACAGAGATAAACTTAAGTGCACATATTCAATAAGGAATCAATCAATCAAACAGATGGCAGGGTGCTCAGGTGAAGGACAGACTATCAGGTGACTGATGGGTGGGAAACAGGTGGGGTGAGGTGGCTTAAATACAACCAGAGGAAGGGATGTGCATGTCAACCTGACACAGAAACATAACATAACTATTTTTGTATTGCTTGACATCACAAAAGTGAACTGCAATTTAATCTGCCCTGAAAAACTTAATTTCTGGGAATGGCAGAGAGTGTAATAGAAATATAAAAATCTATTTCAGCTGAGGAGAAATTATGTAAAAGGCTCTCTACTCTTCACGGCAACGGGATTTAAGGGAAATGTGGTCTTACCTAAGGTCTTATTAACAACATACCTCAAAATACTGTCAACATAAGACAGATCTTACTGCTTAGTCATTCATTCATTCATTCATCTTCTAACCGCTTCATCCTCTTGAGGGTCGCGGGGGGGCTGGAACCTATCCCAGCTACTGCTTAGTCATCTTTACAGTAAATATACCAACGTGTGTTAATGAAATAACCATAATGATATTAAGATGATGACTGCCACAGAGTCAAATGCTAACCCTAAATGTTCATTGAAACTTTCACCCTGGCTTAACCTCGTACCCTCACATGCAAGAAACTTTCAAACATTTTAATTTTTGCTATCGTTTCCTTAAATGTGCCTCATCCATGAGAGAGAATTAAAAAAAAAACCCATAAAGACAAGCATGATAAGTTAAAAATGAAGCTTTTTATAGGCCACCTGTATATGTGGTGGTTGTGATGTTGACATGACAAATGAAGCATGACAGTAATGAGTTACAACAGACATACTATTTACCCCAAACTGTTGTCTTATTATACATTATCCAAGTGCCAAGACAAAGCCAGTGGGTCTCAAAGTGTTTGTTGTGGTATTATTAAAGTAGAATAAAAGAGATATCAGGCACTTTTCTGGACCTGTACTCTCCTTTTCATGGCGAAGATTTTGATCAAGGCTATTTAAATGATAGCTGTATATATTAGCAAGTTCGTTGCTTGTTTTCTTCACAAAATGTAAGGTAAAGAGTTTTAAGCATATATTGATGATTATCGGGATAATGCAGTGTTAATTGTGAGATGACATTTTTATATTGCCCCATGCCTACTTTCATACTTTGGTTACACTGGTATCATTTTCTAGCTGCCTGTTTTTCTGACTTGTTGGTTCCTGAGAAAATGACTTTTTGATTATTTTCAGACAGATTATAATTTGTCAAATTTTAAAGTCTAACGAAAAGAGACACTTTTATTTTCAAACTCTAGTCATTACTAATGATGATGAATTCACACCAATATCTTGGATGGGGAGGAATGAATGTGGACGCTTAAAAATGGAGTTTGGTCCATTTACCAGGACCCCTCCGAAAAATTTGTCACAAGTGTCTCCTGTATATGGACATTCACTGGACACATTTAAGTGTTTCGGGTCTTCACACAATCACTTGGTGCCACAGAACAAATTCCACAGCACTGATCTCTGACTGAAAAACAGTTTTCAAAGCACTTAATTCACATTTTACTTTCTCTACACTTAGAAGAAGCTTCAGAATATCACTCCCAATTTCCTTGGTCCTGCTGGTGCTTCACCTCTGTTAGTTCTTTACAAATAAGCCTTTAAATAGTCCTGATGGTTCAGGGAGTGACTGCAAATGTGACAATGTTCTTCTGCTCTGAAAGAAGCTCCATCAGCTGAGGGAGAATTAGATTAGAAAGATGGCTAAATGTCTCGAATGTCATATAATGGAAATTAGAGTGCAACTATTTTCTGTCATGATTTATCCCCTGGCATCTGCCACACACACACACACACACACACACACACACAATGCACACAGAATGTAAAGTCAAGGTGTTAAATCACTACGTTAACACCTGGACACATGAGCATAGGTCACTACACAGAAGCCTACAGTTGATGTGTCTACAGCAAGCACTAAGGGGCTGGACATGAGATGAACGGTGATGATGAGTGGTTTGGTATCAGGCTGTGTGATGGGACCAGACAGGAAATTGGAAACTAGGGAGAGATGACAGAGAGACAGGGACAGGCTTACCATCTGTGTGTTGGTTGTCATTAGCTGGGAGGAGGAAAGAGAAGCAAAAAGAAAAAGCAACACAAAGGTAAGGGAGAGAGGAAGAAGAAGAAGAAGAGGAGAAGGCCAGAAAAAGAAAATCATAACAAAATAAACAACTGTTTTGTGGCTGGAGAAGAATAAAAACCCAATGCATAAATAAAAGTGAAGCTGAGCAACTCAAAGCAGTCTGAGAGGTCTCTGGGAGAGTTACGCTGCTTGGAAATTAAAGGAAACAAATAGAGAAACACAGAGGAAGATGGTGGAAACCCGCCATGCTGTCGCGTCTTGAATGTGAAAAGGGGAACATCTATCGGCTTTTAAAGTACAGACAATATGAACAGGTGTATGACCACTGAAACTCTCTTCCTTTTATTGTTAACTGATCTTAAACTGAAGTTTGGGGTTTATTTTCACTATTAATCTAATTTACTAACCTACAAAAAAAACTCTGGGCTGCAGTTAACACAAATTAAACCTGGGGGATTAAAAAAAAAAAGTGGTGGAATAAGCTGAAATTCAAACCACAGCGAAAACTTGCCTACATCTATGTACATTAAAAAACTTTAAACAACCCAAAAAGACAGAAGGAGACAAATGACAAGCAGCAAATTATAGATATGTTTTAGAAAACTGCGTCACAACAGGCCGGAGCCTGCAGAGAATATGCAAACTGACAAATTATAAAAACAGGAAATGAAAAACAAAATGTGTCCAACTGACGTATGCAGCCTCCAATCTAATATCAATTTAAATGTCGTCATGAGGCAGCCTGTGAATATTTTGACTTTAAAGGACTGAATTACAGGAGCTGTCTTTGACACGTGGACGTTACCTGTCCGTTGCTGGTGAAGGTGGTGTTGTCAAACAGGAAATAAGCACCGAAGAACATCACAATGGCGTCATACACACCCAGGATGGTCCAATATATGAAGATGGGCCACCGCAGCAGAGAGTTCTTCGCAATATCTCTGTGAAACACAAGATGACGGTAAACAGTATGAATGACCACCTCTCATACGAGCGATCACAGTTCCTGATCAATATTACATTAGCTGACTGCAATGAGACATTCTAATTTGATTTAGCATTCATATACAAATACTCTCAAATACATCACTGATACAGGCGCCGTATAAACACTAACATACCGAATGACCTGAGACCATTTATGTTCCCTCAGAAGTCGAGAGTGGGAGTTTTGAGGGTCATCCCACAAGAAAAGGAGAATTCATCCTCCTCCAGTCATGTGAAAAATTGAGCTCTGACCAAACTCAATCAAACCGAGTTATTAAAGTGGGAGTGCTCTGCCCTCTGAGGCCTGATCTGAATGCACTGAGCAAACGTCTCCTTTGCATGGACCAAAAATCAATAAAAACTGTTTATGCCTGCAGTTTATTGGAGTCATATTGAGTTAGTGTACTCTTTTGCTTTGGAAAATATTAAATCTTCTGCCATTACTTTGTACATAAACGATCAGGTGGAGGGTATTATGAGTGGAAATATAGCCTGGTTAGTCTGGAACCTCTTTGTTCATTATCAATATCCAAGGGACGTTATTATCGAAATTGAAATATGTATGTGTTTCTTTTGCTCAGGAGGCTGAAGTAAACACTGTCTCTGAAAAAATCCAATCAAACACAAAACATTATATTACATCATGTGCTTGGAGTCATATTGATCTTGTGCTCGACCTGTTCCAGGAGGTTAAACACCAAGCTGTTGTTTACTGTTGGAAACTCTTCATTTCCACCATTAAAATTACATAACACGACGCTGTCTCACTGTATGCAGGAAGCTTACATAATAAGAAAAGAGTGTCAGGTAATAGTTGTAGATTTTGTGTTTGCACATTACCAGATATCGACACAAACCTGTAGAGAGTTGGGTCTTTCTTCAGGATGTCCATGTTAATGTGCTGCTCTATGAGACTGTAGAGCAGAATGGGCAGCGAGGTGAAGCTGATGTTGTACAGAGTCAAGTAGGCTGTGTCATACAGCGGCTGGGGAGACAGGCACACAGCATTTAAGTGTCTTAGTCTTTCATTTATTCTTTTATTTTCTTTGTTTGTTTGGTGTGTGTATATGTGTGTGTGTACCTACTTGTTGTGAGAAGCCACAGAAGAACTGGTACAGGAACTGGGGGAAGATGAAACAGACATTCTGGGGATAGAAAATGAGAGGAGAAAAGCAGGCAGCAGGTCAGTAGGTGTAAAAATGATGAAAAGCAGTGGTTCCCATTTCCAACTGGTGGGTCGCAGTCCAAAAGTGGGGCGTACCACCTTTCTCAAAAAAACAACAACTAGAAACTAAATATTCAATAACTAGGCTGTAACTTGGCAACGTTCTCACAATAAAAACAACCCTGAAGAAATAAAATTAAAAATGTAGATAAAATATACATACAAGCTGCATGCTGCTGCCTTAAACAAACACAGTTCATGTAATAAGCAGACACACTACCTTGTAGAAGAAGTATTGCACGAGTTCAGAGATGCGTATGTAGTAATAGTGTCCGTGGACAAGCAGCATCTTCTTGAGGTGTTTGAACTTTGGGATGGCGTAGTCACTGTTCCTCACCGCCTGTCGACCCTCCTTACCCATGATACCTGGGAGAGGCAGACGAAAGTTTGTCATTGTAATTTAACATAATTTTAACACTTAAGTTTCGTACTGCAGGATGGAGTACTAACCAATGCCAACATGGGCCTCTAGGATCATGCTAACATCATTAGCTCCATCTCCAATGGCCAGCGTGATTGGGTGCTCCTCGGAGGCTTTGATCAGCTTCACAATCTAGAAATAAGAGAGAAGTGATGATGTCACACCTTTAATGGATTGGCACGAAGCATCACTCCAGGGCGTGACTCATATTTCAACTCAGTCTACCTGTGCTTTCTGGAGCGGTGCCATTCGACAGCAGAGCACAGCGCTGCAGTTGCGGCAGATTTCTAGGAAGATCTCTTTGTAGTTCCCTGAGTTGGAGTCCTCCTGGGCGGGCCTCATCACCGCAGAGAGCGTAGCTCCATCGATGATCAGACCGTAGTCCGTACAGTCACCTGATAAACTGAGCACAAGACCTGTCAATACAAGTCTGTCTGGCACTCAACTTGCTACGAGTTTTAACAAGCTGGGGGTGTAATCACGTAAACACACGCACCCAGAGAAGGTGTCCCTGGTCATGCCTCCATGCTGCCGCAGCACAGTCCTGCTCAGGTCAAACAGGACGTCATGAAGACTCTGCTCCTCAGTGCGTTTGGTGGTCAGCTCCAAGATCTGGGTGTTGCGGTGAAACAGCTTGCTGGCGTAGCAGGTCGCAGCTGCCGTCTCCATCTTATCCCCCGTCAGCACCCACACCTTCATACCTGCCTTGTGGAGAGACTCAATGGTGTCTGCCGCTTTTTCCTGGAGCCTGTCATGAAAGGAAGTGGGAGAAAAGACAAAAAGTATTCATTAGGGGCAGGACAGAGCTATACAGTGAATCATTTTCACTCTGCCTCTTTCTGCAGCATGAGTTGACTTGCAATGCCCTCTGGGTTGACAATCCCTTTAAAGCCTGCGCTGTAATTGCTTTAGTAGCGAGTGTGCTATCAGAGGGTTGAGCTGCCTCTTGCCGGCACCCAGTTACGCTCACTAAGAAGTGGGGCAGCACTTGTCATGGTAGCAGCTCGCATAGAATAAAGAGTTATTGTTTTGAAGCACAGATCCAAAAAGTGCAGGCCCAACACCAAAATGGTAATAAAAGACCAAAGGACTAGATTTCTGAAAGAAATTGAAAGAGATCCTCGACCTGTCCTCCACAGCAGTGGCTCCCAGCAGTATCAGGTCTTTCTCAATGAGGTCGTAGGCCTCGGCCAGGCATTTGTCTCGGTCCTGAAGTGCCAACTTGGCCCCGTTCAGCAGGTGGCAAACCTCCTGGTACTGTTCAGGGCTCAGGGGACGATAGGCAACACAAAGTGTCCTCAGACCCTCCTGGAGGAGAAGAGAGATTCAGACTAGGTTAGCCCTGTAAGACCCAGATATAGAAAAAAATGAGCAAATTTTTTTTTGACCTCTCAGATATTGTTTTAGGAGGCCTCTGATGTAGAAATTAAAGAGTTTTCAAATTTTTTACATTTTAGTAAGTTTTTAGGGAAATGTTGTAAATTTGCAATGTTGGGCAGTGTTGGGAGCAGAACTTTTGTGTTTGTACTCACTATGTCTGAACAGATATACAGAATATTTAAGTATTCATTTGCAGGGTTGATTGCTTACTAAGCCTCATAACAGTATATATCATGAGTAATAATCACACAACAATCATAGTTTTATGAATAAACATTTATTAATAAAAATATTGGAAAAAAATATATTTACAAAACTTTTTCCTCCGTCACTTTCAATGTGGTTTGAATGAAGTCTGTGTTCACTTGCAGTGATAGTCCCTAAAACAGTTCTTTTCATCTGTGAAGCACAGGCAAACATTGCACTTGCTACACAGTGTGTTTGTGTATCCATTATTTGAAAGAATAGACAGGGTGGTAGACCATGTGTCGAGGGTAGAGATCTAAGTATTACCATTAGTATGTCCATAATTATTATCATTTCAATACAAATGCTTATCAAAATTCCACTACATTCAAACAATACTGTCTGGCTGGCCTATTATGCTCTCTACTTATCATACTAAAACGAACACATGCATCCCCCCAGAGCACTTACAGGTTCACATTCAAGACCATTCGCACCTGTCCCTGAACAATGCAACAGGCATCCCCCCAACAAATCCAGAACATTCAGAACCTGTTTTTCTATCTCCTAATGCTACAAACTGCTGCTTGGGCAACACTGAGAAAAATAGCTCAGGATCATTTAGAAGTTAAAAACAAACAAAAAACTACAAAGATACAGGGAGTTTCAAATACTGCTATAGATGCTGGAGTTTCAAATACCCGATACAATTTATTTATGTGTTTAAATATGGTCTACGCTAAACTAAGTAAAAATTTAACAGAAAAGCACATTTAGAGCTTAGTTACAATGAATCATCTAATACTTTAAATTTCTACTACATTTTTTTTCAATTTGTGACCATGTGAGGAGTGCAGTGACCTTATGTAATGTGTAAGGAAGCACAGGCTATTTTGACTACCACACTGACCCAACGTTGTAGAATTACAACATAGACATAACAAGCTCGAAATCAAATTTGATGAATGTTTTCCAAAATAATTAATTATGGTTAACATGTTAATTAACATGTTCTAGACATTGTAATAAACACAAAAAAAATATTTAAGGAATTTTATTTACTTTAATCCTGACAAATCCAGTCATGCAAAAAAAAGGAGATGAGCTCAACGGGAAGTTTGCAGGTAGAGTGAGTTCATGGCCAGATGACCAGACCTATATACACTTCTTCTATCCAACAGCATTGTGAGGACAAACAATAGGACCCATTAATTATGTAAATGTGGTCTTGAGAAAAAAAAAATATTTGCAGGCCTTTTTTTAGAATTGTTAAAAGTGATGTTGTAAATTTGCAACAGTGGGTTTTACAGGGTTAGACTGGTACATCAAGGGACAGTGGGCTTCTTTTTACATGTTCTGTCTAAAATGTGTGTTTTTAAATTCTGAACAAACAACAAAACAGAGATATTTGTTTGAGTTTGGGCTTTGGATGCGAGTGTGTGGTGAGTGGGAAGAAAATGCTCTTTCTAGTCGAACCTCTCCAGTACAACGCCCACCACAGATCTTTCTGTTTGGACTAAACAGCTACGATTCATCTGCAGCAGCAACCACAAGTCTCACTGACCTGGTTTCCACTACAGCTTCATCTCACTTTATTTAGTTCATCTTTATGGGTGAAGAGAACTAAAAAAGTTCTTACAGATACTTTCACAATCAACTCATTATATTTGTCGTCCATTTTGGGAACTATTTTGAAATTGGGTGTTGCAGTTTGCAGTTATTGTATGAGCTTTCCCTCCGCCTGCCTCCCTCTACATCAGCTGGTTATTTCCTTCATTTCCCAGGAGACTTTTTGACAGTCAGTTGATGAATAGGCCACTGAAACACATACTGCGGCTGCACGGCTTTCTGTCCTGTCTATTCTTTCTCTCTTTTGATTATGTATAACCTGGTTAGTCACAACAACAACAGACAGAAGGAGTGGAGAAATGAGATCATAAAATACATGTTATCTCACAGCTGATGAGAAAAACTGGAAGGGCAAGTTTTGTCTTCTGGCTCGCCACACTGAACCTTAAATACAAAACAACTGCTTAAATGAAGTGGGCCATGTTCCACTGATCTACTTTGGTGGTAACCATAGAAACCACGGTGGTCATGTGCTCCAACTATTTAAACCACTGAAGTCACACAACCTTTGAAACTCTCACAAGGTGAATCGTGTGAATAATGCTGCAACGGAAAAATTGTTTTTGTCATTTTATGAATCTATAGTAAGAGAAGAATTGTGTGTGTGTGTGTGTGTGTGTGTGCGCGTGTGCTCTCACCACTGCGTTGTGCTCCACCCGAGCTCTGACCTGTTCCACCTTGCCTGATATAACCCTGGGGAAGATGGAGGAGTCTGCACCTTTACAGAATAGATAAAGCTCACCTGCTCACACACACACACACACACGCAAAAAAGAGAGGGGAAACCGTATAAGAGAAGAGTGACGCCATACACCTACAACCTAACCATATACATGCATATTAACAGTATGAGGTCTATTACCAGTGTTGGACCTGACAATGACGCTCATCCTCCGTCTGACTGAGTCGAATGTCAAAACCTCCAGCAGCTCAAACCTGATAAAAAGAAGACACAAACATTTAAGCTATCTTGCTACATTCAATATATTATATATTATATTTATACTCATAGCTGGAAGGCTGCTGGTTTCGGCAGTTACTAGGCTGCTCCCACTTATTGCAGTGCCATTACAATAATGCACATGCAGATCAGATCAGCTCTTATCACTGCTCTATATTCATACACTGGCCATAATGTTGCTAATAAAACTATGTAAATTATGTATCATTGCACACTGAAACTGAAACTAAGCTTGTGAGTCCAAAATGGCCAACAAAACAATTGAGAAATGACCAACATGGATAATCTAATCAGAGGTGTGAGTTATAGTTATAAATCAAAAGCTGACAGGATACTTGTGGCAGAGGATTAAAGAGATAAACAACATATTATATGGGGCACACTGACCTCTCAATCTCATCCTCCCTGTTCAAGATCTCCATGTGACTGTCCTTGAGTCTCAGATAGGTGAAACCGAGCCTGCGGCACAGAGCAAAGCACTGTTACTGGAAATGGAGTGAACAAACTGAATGTGTGTATGTGAGTGACAAAATAGAAAAAGAAAAAGTAAATGCTTCTAAATGCTTTGAGTGTGTGTGTGTGGTCTACCTCTTCATGCCTTCCACCAGCGCCACCTCGTCCGGAGATGAGGAGATGTAGAAGGAGGTGGACTTGCCCTGGTGGATGCCGTGCTTGATCCCGTCCACCGTCTCCTCCTCCTTCACCTGCACTGTGTGGCACAAACATAGCGCCCGGAAAAACAGCTCCTCGTGTTCCTGTTGTGGACAGCCAGCAGTGTTAGCCCCTCGACACACATAAACACACACACATATTCAAACTGAGGCTATGCTCACCCTGGCCCCGGGACCTGGCGATGTGTCGATCATATCCATACCTGCTGCACCAGGCATCACCTAGCAACAACACAAATTAAGTACATTAAGATATATGGCACAGTCCCAAGTACAACACGAGAGTAATCTGAGTAAGAACATACAAAGCTAAAAATGTACCTGTCCGTTACAGATAGCATGAGGTACGTAAACATGTCCGTCCACACAGCACTCGATGAACTCCATGTTGTTCTCTGTCAGAGTCCCCGTCTTGTCTGTAAACACGTACTCCACCTGGAAACAGAGCAGGAAAAGCCTCTGCATGACTTCTCTTTATGGTACAGTAACATTTAGCTTGTTTCAAGTGTCGTTTATTACCTGTCCCAGCTCCTCGTTCAGGTCCGACGTGTTGACCACGGCTCTCTCTCCCAGCTCCTCGTCAAACATCTCATCGTCCCACATGATGAAATAGGAGCCCAGAAACTTCTGCATCTCCACAGTGACGTACATGGAGACGGGGATGATGTAGTTGAAAAGAACCATGAAGGCCAAGAAGTCTGTGAATGCCCTGATCACCTGAGGAGGAAGAGGAGGAGGATGAGAGGGAGGAGAGAGGATGAAGAAATCATTTTACCTCCTGACTGAGGGAGTGTGACCGACTCACGATGTGTCTCTGTCTCTCTGCCTCTGTCCTCTCGTTGTACCACGGCTCGTCTCTCTTGGAGTCGGCCTGCCACACGTATTTCAGCACTGTGTTGATGAGGGCCTTGCTGATGAGGATGCACAGGTAGACCACCAGGTAGGCATTCATTGACCTGCAGGGGGAGACAATGAGAGGAAACAAAAGTGCATGGATTTCGAAAGGAGGCAGTTTGGACTGTAACACACTGTACTTAACAGATACTTGTGTTAAGAGAACGGCTAAGACATTTACACCTAGCCAAGTTCATTTTGGCAAAAGGAAGACAAATGCAATTTCAATGACTTAATGAGGCAATGCTGTTGCCAAGTGTAAATGTAATCCACCTACAGACAGTTATATCTACAAGCCATCTGGATACAAGACGCATGTCAACGCCAGATGGAAAGAAAGTGATCCAGTCAGAGCAGCGAGCCAGAGAGACACAAGGCTGCTCAGTTAGCTCATAGATGGATGGGTAAAAAATAGAAATATTATCTAAGCTTGCTTTAATTGATGCTGCCAAAGACTGTAATGTCTGCGTGTGGGTGTCAATCAATGCTCATAGCTTCTCCTCCACAAACAACTTAGAATATTTATATCAGCAAACTTACTTTTCCACTGCAGACCGTTTCTGAGACTTGGACTGGTAGTTGAGAGCCATCTTGGTTTCCATGCCTGTGTAGATGGCAACCGCTAAAAAGGAGGCAAAGGTGAACGTTGAACACAATAGTTTATTTTTGACCAATAGTTTGGCCATGGCCATATATGCAACCTTAAAAACTTTTTGTGACTTAAGTCACAGCTTAAAACCCATCTGTTCAGACTTGCCTATCCGGTTTAATTTTCTGTCATGTATTTTATCTATTTTTAATGTTGTATGATTGGTATTTTTGTATGTTTTTATTGTAAGGTGTCCTTGGGTGCTCAGAATGGCGCCAACAAATAAAATTTATTATTATTATAATTATTATTAAGTTTTATACTTGCACCAACTGAAGAGAGTTAATAGCTCTGGAAAAAGGTCATACACGCACTTTGTTTGACAAAAAATCTTAACAAACACCTTTTCCAAGCATATTAGTGTATTTCAGGGGACATTACCATAGATGTATTCCGTGTTCTTGAGTGTGGCTCCTCGGAGCAGCAGGTTCTCTGCTCCTAACGGCCTGCAAAGAGACAACAAATCATTTTCTGGCTGTTTCATCAATTGTGAAAGTTCTGCTGTATTCATTTATCCTTGTACACATGTTCTGTTACACCTGCTAACAAAGACCTTATTTTGAAAGTAAGCCTTTGCTCAGAAACAAAAGTAACAAGAAACTCAATTAAGGGACAAATTTTGCAATGCTGTTTGGTGTGTTTTCAGCATCAGGGTGAGAGTGCTGCCGCTAAATATGACTGAACATATCTGGAGGACTAATATGGAGTTTAGTGATTTTTGGAAAACTCAGCTTAAACTGATTAACTGATCTTTGCTGGGGAAAAATGATTATACTCCTGTGGTATATTAGAGCTTTGAGTTACCTTGCAACTGGCTCACTGTCCATGTAGAAGTTGATGCGACCCACGAATCTGTGTCGGACAGATGTAACAGGAAACAAGACACATTTCAAACATTCATTTGCCAGGATTGTGTTTTTTCAATGTGTGTGTATGTGTGTTGTACTGACTTGTACAGGTCCGGCTGTGGTTGTTCACATTCTATAGTAGCATGGATGGAGTCCATCTCCTTCTCTGTGATGTAAGCTTTGGTGTCCTGAACTGCATAGTACGTCTAGAGAGGAGAGAAGGTACAGTATGGGTGAATAAAAGAGCCTAAAGAAGAGGCTGGCATGAAAACTGCGCACAAATACTGTACACACCTTGTGGCTGCTCTCTCCGTCCAGACTGGCTGTGGTCACATAGCAGGTCCCATCATCTCGAGATGTGGAGAGAAGGATGAGGTCGCAGGGAAAAGACTCATCTTCTTTCACCAAGACGACATCTCCAACCTGAGACAGACATCTTGTTTTTTCATTTTAAAAATGCACCGTGTCTGGCACTTGCAGATGCAGTGTCTCCAATCATGCTTTTAGTATTGCTAATGCACTTTATGCTAATGCAGTTTGCCTAACAAGCTAACCTTCTGCTTTACCACCTGTAACCCGTTCAAGTTCAGCCAACAGTCACCAACATTTGTTCTCTCACGGGACATTTGACCCTGTAACAGATCCTCTACATCTGGTTATTTTAGCTGCAATTTCACTTTCTGAATACATTATATAACGTATATTAATATAACACACTTTAAAAGCTTAACTGCTCTCAAATATAGGCCTACACACACACACACACACACATACACACACGCACGCACAGCTCAGTGGCAGGAAAATCCCTCAGCATGAGCCAATAAAACAAATGCACCAAAGCTCTGTTCATGTTATATGGGGTGAGAGTGATTTATCTCGTGACATACACACGTACCCTGAGCTTGCGGCTTTGTTTGCGGACTACTTTCCCGTGCTGCACCACGTGGACGGGACACTGGTTGACAGAGTTGTCTGCTTTGTGTCTCAACCAGTCCTCATAACCCTTACAGAGAGAGACAGAGACAGAGGAGGGCGGGATGTAAAGGTGCTGTGATGAGGAGTGTGTAGGTTTTGCTTGCAGTGTGGTGTTTAATGTCAATATCCCACAAAACAAAGCAAAGTGAAATTAAAACCTCTGGGTCTCACCTGTTTGATGGCGGTGACTGTGATGACAAAGAAGAGCGGCAGCCCGCTAGTGATCGGACTGGTGGGAGTGTCGATGATCAACTACAGTGACACACACAGACTGACAGAATTAAATGGCCAGCATAGATTTAGGGCAGAATACTATATCAAAATGACAGACAGCTTTAAAAAGAGACGCAAAGTAATATCTGACCTTTACCGGCCTCTACGGGGAGGTAATAAGAAGTAGCAAAGTACTGATGGCCTTAATCACCACCCATCTCACACCCACAAACAAATAATGGTTCATTTAACGACAGTGGGTCAAACTTTATAGCCACAGTTCTTTTTTTGGCTTGTTTTCTTCATGTTAGTTGTCCTTGGTTTATGTGAAAGGGTTATTATTGTTGTTATTATTATTATTTATGGTGTTGCACGTTCTCCCAGAAACCATTTAATTCCAGCATACAGTAAAAGCAGCTTTGCAGGAACAAAACTAGTGAAAAGACAGGAAAATACACTTTAAATATCTGTAATTAACGTAGAAGTAAACAGAAAAGGGTTTTACCTGAACCAGAAATATGATGAGAAAGTAGAAGTTGGCGACTCTCCTAAACTGCTCGAACATATTCTTTGGGATGAAGTTCCAAAATGTGTACTGGAGACATGAGACAGTTCAAATGATACATTGAGCGTTAGTGTTAAAATCCAAATGCATGAAGGGTCTGAACAAAGTAGATGATAAGATGCTTTTTCATTGATTTTACCATAAGTAGGACTAGGATATTTCAATAAGGGCTTCAATATAATCCAGTATAACGGAAGAAATGTAAATCTAACATTAACCACAGCCATAAAAAACATTTTACAAAACTAAAAAGACATTAAAATCATCAATAAACCACTGTCTGAAATGGCAGAACAGATTGAATTTAATAATTTAAATACTGAGAGTCCCATCTTTAAAATACAATAACCGCTCTTCCAAAATCTTCCTCACAGTGTGTGTTCTTACCAAGAATAACTCACTCACACAGCATAAGCCCGGACAGTGCTACAGTGAAAACTGTTGTTTCCTGTTGTGTGTTTTTCTTCTAGTATCTATGCTGTGTGTTTTGATCTGTGTGTGTGCGTGGGTGTTTTCGCTGACCTTGGAGGAGACTATTCTGTTGTCGGGGAATCTTTGTTGTATAAAGGCCTCCGTTCCTGGAGGAGGCTCCTTGTGTCCAATGTAAATCGTCCTGCTGTCCACCCAGTTCTCCTCACCAACACACTACAGAGGGAAAAAAGACATGTTTGAGTGTGTGCTGGAGCATACATATGTTTGTGCATTTCATTTAATGTCAGTTTTTATTTTAACTTGTGTTTTGAAGCTTCGCATTGATGATACAGAGCTCTACAGAGCTAAATTAAACATCAAACATTTGTACAAACAAACCTAATTTGACATTTTTATTGGACTCCTACATTTAAAATGGTAACTTTGGTATTTTCCAACCTGAACCCTATCTTCCCATGTCTTTGTTTCAAAGTAAGGAATGGGAACAAAACATTTTTTTACCCAGTGTTTTTGGTCCAGTATCAAGTAAGAGTGCTGCAGCAAGTAGCAGCAAATCAAGCTGCAATGAAATCAGTTTATGTTCACGAATAAATTGTTTATTTTTGCCACTGACAGGCTCAGATTGTTATTAGGAGTGTCTGACAACATTATGGAAAGGATCCTTATGGAGATAAACCTTTTTTTTTTTTTTTTTTTTTTAAAAGATATTTTTTGGGCAGTTTTGCCTTTAATTGATAGGAAAGTCTAGTGTGAAGGGAGAGAGAGAGAGGGAATGACATGCAGCAAAGGGCCACAGGCTGGAGTCGAACCTGGGCCGCTGCAGCAACAGCCTTGTACATGGGGCGCCTGCTCTATCCACTAAGCCACCAGCGCCCCGGAGATAAACCTTTTTGTTGAAGAGTAAGATTCTTTTTGTTTTACTAGACACAGACCCAAAATCGCAATCATCAGACCCACCAGACTCCATTCAAAAAAACAGCCATTTAAGCATGTAAAGATCCAGAATATTTCCACATCTTACTGGGTGAATTAAGGGTTTATTTCAACCAAACTGGAGCTGATGATTGTTGGAACAGTGAAGAGACAACCCAAGATGACTTTTGTGAGTTTTATTTTGTTTCTGTTGTCTTAAAATAAAGTGTGTTATACTATGATAAAATCACTGTTTTTTTAAATGGAGTCTGGTGGGTTTGGTGATGGCGATTTTAGGTCTGTTTCTAACTGAACAAAAAAGGATCTTATTCTTTCGCACAAAGGTCTTTCTCTGTAGGGATCATTTCAACAATGTTTTCAGACACTTACAATAGCAATCTGAGCCTGTCAGTGGCAAAAACAAACACTTTTAGTGGATACAAATTGAACAAACATGCAGCGAGTGGTTACATTGCAACCTGCTGCAGCACTGTTTAAAAAAACACTGTTGTTTCCATTAGTCACTTAGACACAAAAAGTTTTCATGGGAGATAAATAAATGTATGATGATCCAATGTGTTCACATATACACACACTCTATCAATACACTCCAACACACTGATAACAGAACACAGTGACATGGTGAAACAGATTGCAGAGAGTCAGAATGAATGAGTAGTTTCTCCCCGAGAGAATGAGAGCTTTTGTTACCACGGATACACGGACCTGCATGTGACTCAGACTGGAATGCCAAATGCACACACACACACTCACTCCCCCTCACACACATGTATACAGACTGATAAGACACCTGAAAACTTTTGTTCTTCTGACATCTCTTCACACTCATTTACCTGCTCCTGATGGTAAGGATCTCCACAATTCCAAGAATTTAGTTTCCTAATAAAGAATGTCATATGTCTTATAGCAACTAATCCCAGGAGACAGTTATTTAAACAACTAATAGATATTAGACTGAAGAGCTTACTGGTGTGATATCCCAATACTCCAGTTAAACCTGAAACATGCAAGTAGGATCTTTGAGCTGAAAGTATTCAGGACAGGCAAGACTGGGCTTGCACTGGAAATACACACACGCTTTATGGCCTGCTGGTTCTGGGAAACGCACACACACACACACACACACACATGTATTATCTCCCTGTGGTCCATTAATCCTAAGAAAACACAAGGGCTGCAACTAATGATTATTTTACTTTTTAATTAATTATGGATTGCATTTACTTACATCCTTAACAACTCAACTTTGTATGTCCAAATTTAAAATGTACATACAAACAATGGTTGCATTGTTTAGAAATGAGAGCAGTCATCAGTCAAACAACAGATTGAACCTCGTCCAGAGGGCTTTCATGTTCTAGCAAGCCTCAGCCATCTCTAAGCACCTGGTCCTGTTGAACTGCAGTGACCAGGATGAAGGGCAGACAGCTCACCGTCTTTCACTCTTTCAGGCATGAAACATTTTCTATATATGTCTGACGGCGGCTGTCAATCACAAAGAAATAGACCCATTTCCATCTTCAAACACACACATATGCAGACTAACAAGAGGTGACAGTAATCTGTGGCAGGTGAATGAGATTGAGTGTCAAGAGGCTGCATGGCCCAGTTTCTACACTCTCTCTGTCTCTGTCTACCTCACACAGTAACACACACACATGCACATTATGCACACACACACACAGTAACCGTTTAACTCACTGCTCTAAGATTACCTTGTTGAAGATGGAGAGCTATTTATATCCTGTGACCTCCAACTATTTATAGAAAAGCAAAGGATGGAAATGTAGGGAAACCTCACGTACAGATAGAAATCAATATCTTCAAGACATACATGCAGTTCATCATCCCTACTTCCCTGTCTTCTCTGCCCTCGTCGTTACCTTTCTGAAGGCCAGTATTGATGCGTTATTGAGACCGCACCAACATCGCATCCATCACATTAGCGAGGGACCGCACCAACTGACTGATATCTGATTTACAGTGAAGGTGGAGATGAAAACCAGATAACGCAGACAGCTTGCCAACTCTGTCGCCCACACAGTGTTGCTGTTCCTCCTCTTCTCTCCCACCTGCCTGCTCCGTCTGCTTCACCTAACACGTTTCTTACACACTTCCTGTTGATCGTCGGCTCATGGAACAGAGCCATGCATACACAGTGTTACATAATCATACTGTCCATTATGGAGACGCTACTAACTGGTGGTTGCTTGTTAGATAATTGGCCGTTTTTGTTTTACTTCTTTTATCGGAATCGCTGAACAAATGAGGGATGTGGGCCCGTGGAACCTCGTGTTGACATATTTGATTACATTTCTGTAGAATGAAGTCAACCTGCTGTAGTATTTTAGCTTGACTTTGCAGCATTCAGACTGTCCATCTTATTTCAGGTATTGAAGCCATTTGTAAAACCGCCTGTTGCCACAGTACAGAAGCATCTGACTCTTGGTGTTGTAAGCACAAAAGCTCCACAATGCATTTTGTTTAGTAATAAGCTGCAATGATTAGTTGATTGAAACAAAATTAACTAATGCCAAACGATATGAAGAAAATCGACGATACATCGACATTTTTGATGTATACTCATCATTCATGTGGATATAATGTAGGGATGCACCGAAATGAAAATTTGTGGCTGAAGCTGAAGCCGAATAAAAATAAACGCTTGGCCGAATACCGAATACTGTTGTTTAATTTTTCATTAGTTTTCGCAGATGAACCTCCTCCAGATTAGTGTTGTCAGGGTACCAAAATTGGGACCCACGGTATGATACCAGTGAAAATATCATGGTTCTGAGTAGTATCACAATACCACAGCAAAAATGAGGCAGATGTGCCTTTTGTCATTTATAAAAAGATAAATCACTTTTCTATAATACATCAATGATATTTCAATGGAATAAATTACTTACTGACTTATTCATACTTCAAAAACGGCATCAATAAGTGATGAACATAGCAGGGATCGAAATAAAATAAATAAATAAAATAAAAATCAACCAGCCACCCTCCTCCCCTGACAAGTCCCTTCATAAGTAAAGAACAGTCCCTGAAGTGCGGTGAGGTTTGTGGACCGTTACCTGCCACAAAGAGAGAAATGTGAACGGCTCGTTTCTCCTCTGACACGTCACATACCTGTGTGCCGCCACGGCTCGGCTGTCCAGGTACTACTGGGCAGTCAAGACGCCAAGAAGAGGACATTATTGGAGCCGGACTTCTCCGTCACCGGTAAGCCGTTATCTTGCGCCGCGGAGCACTATGGCCGCCGTATTTGACAGGAAAACGTATTCCTGTCCGTGTCTGTGACCCCCGTTCAACCCACAACCGGCAGGATTCGCCTTTCGTTTCTGCTGCTGGTTGAAATCTGTACTTGCACAGCGTGCTGAATGATTTATTTTGCTCGCACAAAACTATTTTTAGTCGCAAATGCGAGTGCGGTGACGGCAGAGTAAAATATCGCCACACTGCCGATATTTTACTCCGTCCGTCACCGCACGCTGTTTGACTGCGTTATCCAAGGACGCCGCTATTATTCGGCCTTGCTTTTCACTTATTCCACCGGATACCGAATGTTTTTTTTTTTTTTTTTGCAATATTCGGCCGAATATATTCGGTTGTCGAATATTCTGTGCATCCCTAATATGATGACTAAGTGGGCTACAGCAGTCTGGTAAGTTCAGAAAATTACATCACTTTACTGTAATGCAGCCTTTAAAACAAGGGAAAGACAACAATTACAATGTTACGAAATCCAATATCTAAGACGATATCTAGCCTCATATCATCATATCAATATAATAGCAAAATATTGTCCAGCCCCAACTATTTTAATAATTGTTTAACTCACTTATCAAAGCAAAATTGCTCAACTTGCTGATTCCAACTTCTCAAATGTGAGGTTTTGCTGCTTTTCTTTGTTTGAGGTCACTGTAAATTTATTATGTTTGGCACCATCCTGGAAAATGTGACATTTAACATCGGTAAGAAACTTATTTGTGATAAATAATAGATAGTAAAGTGTATTCAGTTCTGCCTTTCTGCTACTTTCAGTAATCTGCTAAAACACAATATATTCCATGTTGATTAAAAAATGAAAGGAGTACCAACTACCAACAACTCAAAAAATCAAGTTGACATTGAGATGACGATAAAAAAATAACAATATATTGTGTAGCCCTATCAACAGGTTAATTGATAATAACAATAATGGTTGCAGCCCTAGTGTTGTTGTAAATGTCACTGATAATAGTGATGAGGAATGCATCACAAAGGCAAATATTATCATTACCAGTTCTAAAAAATGGTCTTCTGTCAATCATTTTAACATCAGCAAGTGCAGTGGTTTGCATCCAAGGGTCCAGGTACACCCCCTGGGTCCTTGGGGGATTATTTTCACTATTTACCTCACTGAAACTTTCACTTCAATCCACTCCCCTAATGTGAATAAGAAACTATTCTGATCATAGGTTTCACTTCCTATGTGATGAACTCCCCAGCTGTAGTTGACAACTATAGAATTCTGGTCTTAATCACAACCAAAATCTTTTTAGATTGAGGTCCCCAAAGTAAAATCTTATCAAATGGGGGCCTGACTTGATGTGTGTCAATTACTCTGGCTTCCTCCCACAGTCCAAAGACAAGCAGGTTAATTATTGACTCTAAATTGTCCGTAGGTGTGAATGTGAGTGTGAATGGTTGTCTGTCTCTATGTGTCAGCCCTGTGATAGTCTGGTGACCTGTCCAGGGTGCACCCTGCCTCTCACCCAGTGTCAACTGAGATAGACTCCAGCCCTCCAGAATGTCTGTATCACATATGAGCAGTGACATCATTATGATTATTACATGTATCTGTGTTGATCAGAGTGAATGGAGACAGATGGCACTGACTGCGAATCAGCAGGCCTCCTCTCTAACTGTCATCTCTTCCATTTTGCCCTTAATGCAGCTTTATTGGTTTTCTCACCTCTTTCCTCTCCATCTCTAACCACAACCTCTATGGCCTCTAAGCAGACAATCTCTCTGCTATCGATTACATTTAGCTTTCATCCGGATTCAAGCTTTTTACATGGAAGCCTGTCTGTGTTTAATCAAATAAAATAGCATCTTCACAAAATAAAAGCCGGGCTTATAAAATAAAACTGCCCTGTATTGGCTTGGGCCTTCAGCCTTTAGATGTAATGGGAGACTTTGGGCTATTCTGGACCTTGATAATCACTTTTAGCGGCGTTTCATGTTACAGGACGCGGCAGGTTTCAGGGGTGTATTTATAGTTGGAAGGGAAACATTTGTGGTCAGGAGAGAGGGATGGAGAGAGCTCACAGGCTTTGTTTCGGTCTGTCTCACTCAGCGCCCACATCCATTTTCCTTAAAGCCACATTAGTAGAAAGCGCAGGGAGCCTTTCAGAGATCACACACACACACACACACACACACACACACACACACACACGCACAGACAAATGCATCCAGCAACATCAAACATGTATGAGAGCAGGTCTACACGAACAATGACACACAATGTTACCTCTGTAGTCACTGGTCCACGGGATATATTTAGCAGACTCCTATTCTTCTTGTCAGTTATGTGGTGTGTGTGTTTTTCTCTGTGACTTTACTGAGACAGAAAGACATGGAAATTCATCCAAAGTGACAACAATACAGTCGGGGAATTTTTAGAGTAAGAATGAGGTTTTTTTAGGGGAAGTTTAGGGGAAGGATTAGAGCGTGGATGTACCTACAGGTGTATGGAGCTATCGTGTGTTTTAAAGAAGTGAAACTAACACATCAAAAGTTATTTTCAAATTTTTAACCGAATCGTGTTTTGCATGTCAAAATTCTCAGAATACCTTGAAATATAGAACTCATTTTTCAGTCTTTTGATAATCAGCGAATGACAGGAGTTATCATATCTGTGTCACTACATTGGTGCTTCAAAAATAACACTCATTATTCCAACAGGACTTCAACACAGCATCACAGAGCCAGAAACTGAAGCCCCACTGTGATCAGGAACAGAGGACCATATTGTAAACAGGAAGAGCTGGACCCACCCACTCACTCACACACACACTTCCTGAAACAAGCAGGCACCTCCCCTCCTCTCCACCCCACCAGAGACACAGAGAAGAGAAAGATTCAGGGATGAGAGAAGACAAGAGGAGAACAGTATCTGATGTGGAGAATCAAATGGAGGTGTGTCTGTTAGGCAGCCAGAAAAGAAAAGCTGCACTGATGTTACTCCGATGTTATTGCCTCCAGTACTTTAAACAAAAGAAATACGGTTATGATCAAAGAAAACTTTGAAGACATGCTTTAAATTTCCCCTTTCAATTAGATTGGGTACACTTCTATGTTTGTGCTCAAGGAGGAAATTCATTGCCACAGCCAGGCAAACACAGATACATCCATTAAAAAGCCATGATTACACCAGCACATGACTCACAGATTGACACACATCAACAACACACCATTGCAGAGCAGCAAAATAAACCATCACATATGTACATCCTAAGATTTGCAAAACTATTTTGTGAAATATGTGATTTAAAACAAAAAAAAATGATGTTCAGTCTGCAGTAATACTGTAGTTAGTGCTGTATGATGCCTGGCAAGCAAAGATAACATTTACAGGACAGGAAAGATGAATCACTGCAACACACACACACAAATGACTATTGTTTGGCTGAGCTTTTGTTCGACTGATGACCAGTCCCAAAGTATTTTATCTCCCGCTGCAACAGGCAGCACTGAAAGTAAGTCTCAACTAAAAGCCACGGACGACAACCTGCTCTCTGCGATACCGCTGATGGACACACACACGCACACACACTCCTCACACACTTTCACATCTAAATACTGTGTCATATATCAGGCTTGCGTGTGCAAACACGCGGAAAGAGTGTGTATTATCTCTCTGCTGCCACTGAGCTACGGAGATAAGAGAAATCCTGTCCCCTTCACTAAATCACCAGGAATTAAATACAGACATATAGTGTGTGTTTGTGTGTATGTGTGTGTGTGTGTGTGTATGTGTGCGCGCGCGTGCATGTGTGTGTGTGAGAGAGAGTCTGCCTGTTTACTACTGCACTTGAGATTAGGTGGAAATGTTTTGGCCAAAAGGGAAACAGGGATAAATAAATGCAGGAGTGTAGAGACTGGTAGCAGTCCCTCTGTTTACTCTCAGTATCATGAATGGATTACTGAATGGCCCTACCAGACACAGGCCCTGGGGCCCCAAAGTGTGAGGGGCCCTCTCGCCTTCACGTGTAAAATGTCACACAAATTAATTGGTACCGACCAACTAGAGACTCAAAATGACCACAAGTAGACTCAAAGGAACTGCAAAGAGACACAAAATAATTACAAAAATGGGCCGAACTAAAAGACATGATTTAC